TTCCTACAATCCAACAGCAATGTTAATTATTAAGAACATCCGTGTGCGCTGATTATTTGAATGAGAAAAAGTATTGCAATTTTTTACTCAAGAAATTCGTAAGCAATTAAAATTAAATATGTGCTTAAATCGATATGCACAAATGTTACAATAATGTCTGTAATATAAATGAGTGCATTCGATATACATACCTATACATTTATATAAATATGTAAGTAAAATATACTGTATTCAAGGAGTGCGTTGCTGCCTCCATTTTTTTGGGTTTTATATAATATGTTAAATATTACAATGAATATGCGTGTTACATACAATAGAAAAGTATACAATACTTATACAGACTTGCAATGAAATGTAATACATTGAAAACGTTAAATATTATTAAACATTACATTTGTATTAGTGAATAAAATGAGTTGATTGAATATACAAAAGAGAGTTAATCAAAGCGTATACTTACTACTTCGGGTATGTTCCAAGACGTTCATAATATACATACATATATATTTACATGTAAATGAAGGTAATGATTAACAGATTAACGAATCGTTCCGTAGGAATATTTTAAACTACCATTGAAAATAATTGGTCCCCCACGAAAAATATATGCCATTTTTATTTTCAAAATACTATTTCCACTTACACTCTATTGCTTGAAAATATTGACGTCCGTTCTCACATGCAAAAGAATAACCGACGACAGTTATTCATCTTACTGATTGTTATTATTTGTGTTGTGTTAATACTTCTCTCCATTGCAATACACCAATAATAAATATATGCAATTTTCAAATATTCTTTCACAAAAAATACGTACCGTTATATTAGGTACCCACTCCGTCCTTATTACCGTTTGGATTAAGTCTGTGCATATCATCACTTCATTAACAAGCAAATAAGAAACAATTAGAAGTTAAATAAATAATGGAACAAGGTTGTGTAAAATATGTATATGAATGAATATTTTTGTGAATCCGTAGTATTATTTTATGATTAACCCAGAAAATGTTTTTACAGTGCACATCACTTCAATTAACATAAATTTGTATGTATGCATGTATATTAAATAGATATGAATATAAATTAGAAACAGTTTAATTAGAATAAATATATAATTTCGTTATTTAATATGTATACGTATAAAAACTGTTCGTAATTTTCCAAAAGTAAAATAATTTCAATAAACCATCTCAAACATTATATGGTGGTAGAATATCAAAATAAAATTCTGCGTTGTTATATTATATAAACAACGTACATATATATATGTAGCAAATAAATCAAATCATGTGCAAATTTTGTTTGTCAGTAGAAATTTCCAAACTGAACCTCATGCCTCACAACGATTTTGAGTGAAAACGTTCATTGTTGGTGCAGCTTCGAAAATATAAGACCCTAATATTGATGATATTGTTGTTTTTATAGCGGCAGAAAACCATTTTAAAGTAATTTAGCGGATTGATGCCTGGTTGACAGTTCTTGGCCAGATAAAAATTCTAGATCCGCTTGTCGTGGAAACCTTGATGCTCTGGGAAAATTAAAAAATAAATTAAATATAAGTATGTACACTGACACTAAACTAAATAGTTTCAAAGTCTACTGCTTAAATTTCGTTTTGAGCTTGCTTTTTTTTTACATTTAACATAGTATGTCAACATAGTTGCTCTAAGAAACTACATATCTTTAGTTTGTTATTATAAGCTAAAGATATTCAGAAATAGGTAATATTTACTTGTTTTTCTTTTGAGCTAAAGTTTTAATTTTTTTTTTTTTTTTTGGGAACTTGGTATTAGGAACATTAAAACCAATGTTAGTGTATAACCAGAAAGAGAGGGCTAAATTCGACTGTAACCGACCATGGGTCCGATTTCGCTAAGGCAAAGTCAAGTAACATGGGTACCAAGTTTCATCAAGATAGCTAATTCTAAGACAATTTCCTGACCTTGAGTGTTTAACTGACGTTATGGGCTTAATGGAAAGAATCGGAAAGTATTTATGATATATAAGATCACAAAAGATTAAAGTTTTGAAATTTATTTATGTGGTAGAACTAATTACTAATTATTATTATTAAATAATTTTATTTAGCTCACCCCGTTTGTTTTATTATTTATTCTTGGRTCAAATTTAGTAATTAAAATTTCACCCTCTTCCTGTCAACCGGTAGATCTGAAATTTTGTATACACTTTGGATTTTGGTGACAATATAATTATGTTTATTCATTACCAGTATAAATTCAAGATGGCCGCCGCTACAAAATGTTATTACGGATGTATTTTGAGAAGCAAAAAAAATATACATATATTTATATAAGTACGTATGTAGATCTAAATTTGCGCTGAGATGACATCTATGATTTCATGTCAAATGAATTTTCATTGAATTAATGAATTTCGAAATACTCGGCCATTAGAAAAGGAAATATGGGAAATATTTTATCGCAAGTTTATATAAAAATAAACATCAAAAACAATTACTAATTTTTCCTCTAAAAAATTAAAAAGAAAAAGAATTGTGATTAATAATATTTCCGTACTTTATTCAAAATTTTCAGCTCTTATTTCAAAACTTGTTTAGGTTTGCAAAAAAAAACTTTAGTCCCTCAAAAGTGGTTTGCCAACCACGTAATGTAAAGACAATAGCAGATAATAATAACCTAAATGTTAGAAAGTTTATATTATACATTTATGAGGCAAATAAATGCAATCTCTCCTTAACTATGTACTTTGTATGACCTAACTAGGGGTTACTTGTTTCGAATTAAGCCTCTGCGTCCTTATTCTTATTCTTCTTTTTCTTCTTCTTCTTCTTAGGTTCTCCTTCACCAGCTTCACCGCCATTCTCTTCTACGACAGTGTCATTTGCTTCTGCAGCCTTTCCATTACTTTTGTTTTCTGTAATATCGCCGTTTTCTACATTCTCGGCTTTACGTTTCTTTTTCTTATTTTTCTTTTTTATTGCTTGTGTCTCGATAACACCGTTTTTGTCTTCTTTTTCTGCTGCTTCAATGGCTTCTTTCATAACTTCTATATTTTTACGTGGTATTTCACCAGATTCGTAAAATTTCAGACGATCTTCCACCTGTTGCTTTAGTGTTTCACCAAAAACGCTCGTCGGTTTCTCCAAAAAACAGTCAATACGGGATGCAATCGAACACTTGTTAGCCAAAAACCGAGATATGCGGCCTTTGTTCTTTAATCCAGCACGTCCAATGAACGATGAATGGTAAAGCAATCCATATTTTGGTGTATTTGAACGAGTTTTCAATGCACGGAAAAGTGCTTTTTCCGCTCCCAATATTTGTACTGTCGAAGCTGGATATTTAGCTAAATTAGTCAAACTACCTGCGTGCGAAATCAAACGTGCCCCAACTTGATCACCAATCAGAGATTGCAAATTAGGTGCTACTGCCTCCATTTTATTGTGCAAATACGTTGCCATTTTCTTTCGATATTCAGACAAACGAACCACTCGTTCCGCAAATAGTTCGATATTCATTAAATCTACTATTGAAATATCCATACCCATAGACATTTTCGCGGCGTCTATAATAGCTTGCGCCTTTGCCGAATCCATTACAATTTCCTCCAATTCTTCTAATTTGTCTTGGGAAAGGCTTTTACGGTCTTTAATATATTTAGCAGTTTTGGCAAACAAGTAATTATCAGGAACAATTTTGACCAACTCTGGGAAATGGTATGAATACCATTCCCGTATACGCATTGAAAAAGTATTTACGTCCTTATCCAGTTGATCTAAAAGCGCAATAGATTGTATTATCATATTGTCCGAACGGTGAACGTTAAACTTGACTTTGGCACGAGAATAACTGTGACCCAAACCCAGTTGCGCTATTCCCGCAGATTTGTCGGTGAATCCTTAAAATAGATTGCTTATGTCAATTATATACCCTATTTATATTATAAATTTAAAATGCTTACCTTTAACTAAACGATGAAAATGAAAACGTATGCCACGTAATAATTCTGGTACAGCTCCAAAATGGCTGCATTGCACCCCAATCGACTCAGTAATAGCTGCTCCCAACTTAGCATCCCCAATACCTAAGGTACATTTCTTCTTCTTCAACTTTGAGAAGAAATCATCTAAAAATACCAACAAATCTTGAGGTGCAATACCTTCAGATATTGCGTTAATGTTTTCCAATGCGGCTATTGCTGTTTTGAAAGGAGAAAATCCAACTAATTTTACAATCGAATGGAATTTTGCTATATCAGTTACGGATGCCTCAACTTGAGGAAGAAACATCGATACTTCTTCAAATTCCTTGACTGAAAACAACGAGTATCCTGCAGCATGTTCGTAGAGGACGTATAGTTGCGACTAAAAATACAATTGTTATATTAATATAGTATTAGAAAAATAAAAAAACCTGCTACAAACCATATTTACAGCGAAATATGTCACAATTTACAATTACAAAATAATTTAAACCACAAATCGCACGCTACAAAATTTTCCACGTGTTTTACATTTGCACAATAATTTGATGATTTGACATTTGTAATCCAAAACGTCACCTATAATAATTTGTAGAGTTTTTTATTGAGACATTTAGGGGCACGCGAAATTTTCGAAGTTTCCGAACAGTTTTCTATATGTTTGAAACTTTAAGAAATTTCTAAGGCATAAATTTTATAAAAGCGTTTATAGTTCATTCAACATAAACGATTTTTTATAAAAATTTTATAACGTTTTTCTTTACCTTATTGTCATTAGATTACTTTGAAATGACGGTAAATGAGGTGAATTTCGGTATGTTAATGACCAAGAAACAACATTTATCATAGATTCGATGAAGGAGAACCTTAATAATATGTTGTGTGTTTATAATATCTAAAACGGAAAACTACAAAAACCAGCGAAAATAAATTTGTCTTCTTTTCGATTTAAGTAAAAATTTGAAGTTGAATTTTTTAAGTGTGGCAGATTCGACTCATTTTTCAATAGTTTATTGTTTTAAGTATATACACAAAGTGTGGCAACTGTGTTTTGAGTGAATAGTGAGGTGTATTTTGACTTCGTGTTACAAATATTTTGCAAATAAATCATCTATAGTCCAATAATATAGCAATATTCAAATGAATTTAAATTGTTCAAAGTTATATAAAATATTTGATTGAATTTCTAGTATAATTAGTTTTATATAATTCGCTGAATAAAGTTGTAGAAGGCGACATCAGCTGCGACGGACAGTAGAGCCGATTGGCAGACGATACGTTTTAACATATATATATATATATATGTTAGACTCACTTTGCGTAAATCACACAAATATACCTAAATGTAAATCTTTGCGGTCGGACCCCACTATTCTCTGTTCAAGTAACAGCAACACCTCAAGTGTATTAACTGGAAGCCACTTTAATATTTTCTAATACTCGTGTGAAATTGCTTAATCTAAAATCGGTGAATAAAAAAAGCAGGCATTGAAGAAAAAAATTTAAAAACCAAAATCGATCTATATATACGACATAACGGTATTTGTATTCAATAGTCATGGAATTTCTATTGTAAGTATTGTTCATATTGTAACAATTTTTATATTGAAATATATTTATAATTTCCCTTTATATAAATTCTGCAGCTGTATACTAATCTTTAAATTACATATGTACATATATAAAATTTATTAATCATATGTATTTACTACTACTAAATAGATACCCAACTACTTTTTCTTCCTTGTCAATAAATTTAATTCTGTAGTCAAGGGCGAAAATATTAATGGACTGTAGTAAATGACAAAGGATCAGTATTAACGTTGACATTCTGGACTTCTTAACTCTACAATACACACAGACCGTTCTGAACCAGCGCACAGCGTTGCAATCGTAGAGCTCCAATAGCCTTGCCAAGCTAGCTAGTAATCTCTTAATTTCAGAAATTAATACTAAGCCATAATTAAGTTCAAACTTTCAATATTCGTTTTGAGGTTTGTTCGAACGAACCGAAACTTTGTCCACTTAATTTGGGAATCAACGAATGGAACAAATGTTGTAACATTGCGAGGAGTTAAATCTTTCTTACTTTCTGTTACTTATATATTGTGTTAATCAATATAATAATATTTTTAATTTTATTTAGTGGGTCACGTTCAAGCAAAACTTTTAAGCCAAAAAAAAATATACCCGAAGGTACTCACCAATATGATTTGATGAAACATGCGGCTGCTACCTTGGGTTCTGGTAATTTACGTAATGCTGTCGCATTGCCGGATGGAGAAGACCTTAATGAATGGGTCGCTGTTAATAGTAAGTTTACTTTAAATTGCTAAAGCTTATCATGCATTTACGTATTTATTACTATTTTAGCTGTCGATTTCTTCAACCAAATAAATATGTTATATGGTACTATTACTGAGTTTTGTACCGAAGAGAGTTGTGTTATTATGTCTGCAGGACCGAAGTATGAATACCATTGGGCGGATGGACTTACTGTAAAGAAGCCTATTAAATGCAGTGCACCTAAGTATATTGATTACCTAATGACGTGGGTGCAAGACCAATTAGACGATGAGACGCTGTTCCCATCGAAAATAGGCATACCGTTTCCAAAAAATTTTCTCAGCATAGCGAAAACTATTCTGAAACGTTTATTTCGAGTTTATGCACATATATACCATCAACATTTTTCGGAAGTCGTCACTCTAGGTGAAGAGGCACATTTGAATACATCCTTTAAGCACTTTATATTCTTCGTTCAAGAGTTTAATTTAATTGATCGGCGCGAGCTAGCTCCACTGCAGGAACTTATTGATAAGTTAACAGCTAAAGATGAGCGGCAAATATAGGATTCATTGCAAGTCGGGATGCAATTGGAGTTTTGAGTGTGAACGATCTTATAAAGGAACTTACTCTTCGATAATCCACTCTAACATAAATACATACGAACACATACATTAAGAAATAGTTGGAAGACCTTGAAAATAGAAATATATGTTAAAGGTTTCAAACATTTTTTCGTTGAATATTATATTTCAATAACCTCAAAACTATTAATATTCTCGTACGTAAGTGCAAGCGTGCAACAATTATATATTGCAGCCTACATTGTTGCTACTACTAAAATTCAAAGCTAGAATTTTTAATTTATTCTCTAAATATAAATATTTTTATTATAATAATTTTTTTGAAGTAGCTTTACAGCGACAAATGCAATAAACAATTCTATTTTATTTGTAATTAATGTAAGTTGCTGTTTTAAGGTTTATTTTGAAAATGTTAATTTTAAGGTCCTCTTAAAAGAACACTTAGAAATGTACTCATTTAGAGCTAATGCAAAATTTCGCACATAAAAGATGCAAACAAGCATGAATAATTACTTGTTAATTCATTGGAGGAGAGAAAATTTATCATAGGTGTATGTGGTCTACATGCTGACATTAAAACTACTCACTAGCGCCATATTATCGAATATTTATCAATTTATCTTTAAATGAGTTGAAAAAGTTGAATTATAAAGAAGAACGAAAAATTTCAACAAATCAAAAACTGACTATATATAAAAAATAGCAAGATTTAACGGCCATTCGTATACATATACATGTAGATATAACCTTTTCTATTTAAAATTATGTGTAAGCATTTGTCTTATGCAGGAGGAAGGAAAACATTGATATTGAAATAATAAAGAATAAAAGAGACCATTAAGACATAACTCCTAATTTTATTTTTAGCAACTACAAATGAAATAAAACAATAGTTGCATGAATAAAGTCTTAGACCCTTGATACTGTTGTGTACTTACATGCATGAGTGTAAAGTAAAATAATCAATAGCTGAATATGCATAAACCCAATCTCAATATACTTTAGTAAGGTATAATAATAAATATCATAATGCTAAATGTATAAAATTTAGAAAATAAATAAATATAACCTCCAACGCTAAATATAAGTGATTAAATTTTGTATTGCAAATTAAAAACATTTATCGACAGGAAACTTATATATAATTTAACTAAGGACAGTTAAACAGATACATTTAAATGTACTTATATATATATATACTATATATAAGTATATTTAAAATTTCCTATATTATTGAAGAGAAAACTAGTAAGAGGGTAAACTCGGTCAAGAGTTTAGCTAAAGCATGAGTGCAGGATATTTTTGTAGTTTAATTTTTGTCTAAAACTCCCTTGTATATTCGTAAAAACATACTTTCATTTTCGAATATTAATTTGCGAAAAGTTCAGAACCAACAAGGGTACATTTATTTTCATACTTAATTTAGTATATCACACTATACATATATACAAAGATGTGTATTTTAAATGGGTACACATAAGTATGTAAATTTGAAACATGTATTTTGGGAATATTATTACATAAGCTAATACTAATACAAATTAAGAAATATCATATATATATTTTCATACTTAATTTATACACATACAAGTATATACAGCATTTATCTAGAAATACATATACTAACAATGTAATCGTACAACTTAGAATATATACCATATTTATATGAATTAAAAATTATTATTATACTACCAATATACCTAGATATGTATGCGGATATGTAAATTACACCAGCTACAATAAATTAAACAATCTAAACTTAATCATATCTTACTTTTTGGGTGAAAACATATGTATATCTACTAGCATTTTATATTTCATTAGCTTTAGTCATTTTAAGTACTCTTAACCCTAATCAATATTATTTTGCTAACTGCTAAACATTAAACAAAACAAAAAATATTTGTTATAAGAGGAATGAATGCGAACGAGTGATATTTGTAATTACTCCTCTCGATGATTTACGAAATTGGTTCAACTTGGCAATATACTTTTGTATTTTTCATACTCCTGATAGAAGTTGACGTTATCCTCCACTAGTTGTTTCCATTTAGCAGCAAGTTCCTTGTAACTGGGTCCGTTTCCTCCGATATCTCTCGGTAATTTAGCACACACAACTGTAGTTGATCGTTTTTGTACAACAACGCGAGAACGCATTTTCTGTGTCATAAATAATCTATGGAAAAAATATTGTATAACAACTGGTTTACCAAATATGAATATAGTTACCTGAAAGTGTTCAGAAAGATATTCACGTGAGTAGGCGCATTTATAAACTCCAAAAGCTTTGGTTGACATGGATAAGCTTGCCAACTTTCAACAGAACGCTTTATTAATCTCGGATTCAATTGCAAAGCATGACCCAACTGAACGCCTGTCATATCAAAAATTCCCACAATTCCTTGCCCACAATTATCTGGCTCGAATTTAAGTAGTAAGTCTAAGACCATTTTACTAACCTAGAAAATAAATTTATATTAAATTTGTTCATTAAGTTTTACTTTGATTCACCTTAAAAACGTTATTTTGAGAATGCAGTTTTGGATCGTGCGCAGCAGCACGTATTATAACCACCTTACGATTTTTTGAATCAACACCATCGACTGGTAAAAATACACCCAGCTTTAAAAGTTCGTGTATTTCTGGTAAAAAGGGATCCCTGTAGGCGAACCACTCTACACGCTCCGCTCGCATTTGATAGAAGCTATAAAAAAACAAAATAGTGTCGCAAAATCGCTTTAAATAACAGTCATAAAAATATTCAAAATCACATCAATTTCATTAATCGTAGTAATAATAAGGGCATTAAATGTGTAAAAAGTATTGTTTTAAATCAAAATAACTATAGTTATTGAAACGATGTAACGAGGCGAAAAAACGATGTAAAATAGAAGCTACTCATATGGTATTGAAACAAAATTTGAATTCTAGTTTGAACTTCGTAAGAAGCTTAAAAATTTGTACAAATTATATACTATATTATATACAAAAAAAAAACTCATTTCAATTTCTTAATGAAACGTTGTTTTGCATTTTCGTTGACGTTAGTATGTAAGAATGTGTAACGAACAGTCCCTTTTACAAATTAATTTTCGACTAATGATACAGTATGCAAGCAGATCATACATAAATAATAAACTTTCGTCTGCGTAAATGTAAAACGACTTGATTTCTTGCTAATACATACATATATTACAAGACTCTGCTCTTTGGTTGAATATTAAATGTTTCCTTTTAAACTATTTTTGATTTATTATGTCACAATAAAATTCCGAATTTCAGAAACTTTCACAACAGTTCGACGTGAAAACAGTTTGCTTTCACAATTCGGATTGAAAATGCTTTGTTTATAAGTACATACATACAAATGTATCATATATACATATGTAATTATATGACTTAATCAATATAATAAAAACAATGACATGCAAACCCTTCCCCTCTATTATTAATATTAGCTCCGGACTCACTGTTTTATTTTTTTCTTTGTTCGTTCCAAATCATATTTGCAACTTCGTAAAAAGAACAACAAATTCCCAAAGTCGCTATTGGCGTTCACATTAGGGTTCTCCTTCAACCATTGTGAAATATGTTGTATTTGTAGGCGTGTCCTTTCAGGCTCCGTGTCATAGGTGCCCACTTTCCTTGAATCGTGTAGCAACATCTTTGTTGCGACTTTTTGATTGTAAACAATAACCTAAGCAGGTTTGCAGTTTTTCGTTTGAATTTTGTGCTGTGAACTTTGCTTTTTCTCTTTTTCTAACACATATACAAAGTTAAATACACACAAGCAACGCACAAAGACGGGGAGTGCTGTGGAATCGGCCCACCCAAATGTGGAAAAGTGGCGGTAGAAACAAACGCTCTTCACGAGACAAGCGATCGCGTGAAACTGTGCCAGTCGAATTGCAAATGCAGTGCACGCAGCTCTGTTTACGCCTCGCATGCCGGTGTCGATGTTGTTTACGTAGTCGCCGCGATTCTTAGAACTAATGCATGAAATTGGCAGCAGATACAATACTAATATCAGGGCAGAGCAGTAATCGCACAAACATCGAAACTGCGAGGTTGGATAGGTGGCGTACTCGACGGCGTACGTATATATGTACGTACATATATGTATATCATATTCTTACCTTGACAGTGTAAAAGGTGGGCAACAAATGGATTTTTAATTTTTGAAGAGCAGCTCCTTTCCCCTAGAAAGCTCAAAATAACTTCAATGCAAAGAAATACCGTTAACGAAAGTATTCCTTAGCACTCCGAGAAGGTTGGTACTGCAAATGTGCAAAATCGGAATATTGGCACGACCAAACAATGTTGTTATCCCAGAAAAATAAAGTTATTCAAATTCACATTTCCTTTCAGCAATTCTTGAACCAGTGAGCCAATATTAACCAAATTTAGTATATACCATTCACCTGATATCCTTATGTTACTCTGGTCTAAGTCCAAATTCAACTACACATGTTTAATGTATGCCATCATTTTAAATTCCAACCGATTATTTCACTTTACTTTAGATACATATGTATGTATATATGAGGCATCAGTGAAGATATCGGCACAAGAGTTTTTATAAATATATAAATAGAAAATACTATGTGAACTACCCTGTATACGTGCATACATACATGTTTATGACAACATTGTTAAATAAGTAGATTAGGTTTTTATTGTTAATTTTATTTAAAGCTGCATTTGTTGTTTCTACATTTCGTTGCTACGCTTTGCGATAAGCAAATGCATACATGCATATGTGTATCTACATATATATGTATACCTGTGTATGGAGATATATTGAACCACAATAGAGATTATGGATTCAGCTAATCCAACGGTCGAAAGAGTTATATTACTTAAAGTAGCCAGTATTTTTAAAACGCGCAAATTGTCACTTATCAGTTTTGGGAAACCGAATACACTTGTGCAAGTATATGTATATGGGCATGTAAAGATATGTACGTATGTATTTGTACGAGCTGTTTTCTTTGTTTGAGCATGTCCCATGGAGAGACTCATTGTACTCTTCTGACCCCGATATCTACAAAAGCGGACTAATCCTTTTCAATCTTTTACGAACTAAGACTAAAAATACAAAAAAAGTACAATTGAATTTTTTTCTTTATTTATTATAATTTGAGGTAATAAATACTGTAATACTATAAAATTTAAAGTTTTAAACTGAAATTCATTTGTACATTTACATATATGATAAAAATCTGTAGTACTTTAAAATTTTAAATGTTTAAGTCACTTAAATTGGTTTTTCCTTAGTATTTCTCTAAACAATTTCTGGATTTTTTTGCTTCTTAAAATGTAGGTTTTTCCTTAGACGTTAAATGCTGGTAAGACAATTTAAATACTGCTACTTTAAATATAAATTTAATTGAAATAAGTTCAATCAATAAAGAACCTATGGGAGTTTAATTGCTTGTTCAATTTGTTACTGAAAATTATTATATTTAAGAAATCCTTCAAAATATACTCACACCCACAATGGGAAATTTAAACCGGGATCCAATGTTTTGTAACGACTAGGAAAAATATATTATAAGTTCTTAAAACTTCTACATTCAAACTTTTCGGAGGCAAATATTGCATGGATGTGATAACATTCAGATCTTCAGATTTTTTTTGGAATTGTTACCTATTTGCAATTGGTGAGATACAAGACAATGAAGACATGATTGGCAGATGGCAAATTTCATAAATATTTAAGGTATGGTCAGAGTAATGTATACTAAAAAACTAACACTGATCCCAAGAATGTATAGAGTACCCGATTTTTTTACAATTTATCATTATCAAAAAATTATCAAATTGATTAATCCATTAATAAGAATATACATGGTACATAACATTGCTAATATATGTATGTATGTATGTATATGTAAATATCTATTTCTCATTGTTCGTACCAACATCGAACTTGACAATGAGCAGAAAGTCAACGGCAGCCTGGATCAATGTACTATCGATTGCATTGAAATCCCCCGGCATACATGCAGGTACTCATACTTGTAAAAAGGTACGCTAGCAGAAACATTGACTGAATTATCTAATTTACAAGTTGTAAGCATGTAATCAGCTATAAATGATATGTGCTATAAATGTATGTTTATAGTGTTGCCCTTATATGATGTCTGTAACACCGAAACAGTAAATCAATTGGATTATCCACGTTTACCTTGTACAGTGACATTACCAAAGAGTGCTCAACAAAAGTTCGAATAAAACCTTGTTTTTATTTGTAAATGTTATTTCACCTAATGATTATTTTTCTGAAGGACGTGAGTGCTTTTCCTCAAAGAAAGTCGCTTTTGTGTACTCGTTAACAGTTTTTTTTAATAAAAATTGAGTGCTTCATTTCAACCAATATTCGTCATAATATGGCAGTTATTCGTCTTCATATCTACTTAAACGACTGAAGATTAGTTAAATTGCAGTTTTAACTCTTTTATATGTATAAAGGAGTTATTGAAACCTATTTAAAAGTAACATCGAAAAGGTTGATACGCATTTTCACCAAAATTGCAGTATTCACATAGTGTCCGCATATGCATATATTCATACTATATATTTTTTTCATTTTCTTGTATTTCTTCAAAATAAAAAAAATTTCACTCTTATACATATTTCAGAATCATATGAGGCATATTAAAGTAGGATTTTTGATGTATTAATGAATTTTTTTTTAATCTTTATGTATCTGAGATCCTCCGAGATCTCATAATACCCACTACTTTTGTTGCACACATATGCATACATTATTCAATTCGTAAGTAATAAAAGCGTTTAGAGAAAACGTTTATCTAATTGGGTAATACGTAATTACATAATTTCATTTGCAGTAAAAAATAAGTAACGGGTAACTGAAAATTAGCTAATACCTTCGCAACGTAGTGGCCAATTAAGTTCGTTCGCAAATCCTCTTTGCGCAATTACACTTTAACCTAAATAGAAAGTGTTCATCGATAATATCTAATTTTTTCCTTAAGAGGGGAGACTGACTTAGAGGCTTCAAAAAATAGATTTTTTTGAGGATTTTTTTTGGGAGGGAAGAAATAAGTGATTAAAGCAAAATTTCTAGGGTTTATAGTTATATGTTTAAACATCATTCACAAATTTTTTGGATAGGAAATTTTTTGATATTCTGCCTTTGGGAAGCAATTGTGGGACGGTTGGCTGGATGCAGTTTTTTTTTAAGTTTAAATAGAAGATAATTTATTGCCAAAGATAATAAACTTTGCCCCAATTCCATACGACGCACTTAGGAGCATTTGGTATCAAAACCCGGACAAAATTGTTTAAAGTGCTTTTGTTAAAAAATGAATAAAARTGCATGCTTGAATATAATAATGCAATATATTAAAATAAAGCGAGTAAGGAGGGGCTCATTTCTGGTGAAACGGAACATTTTATATTGAATATATTTGAGGTGGGGGTAGTATCGACCAGATTTTAACTATTATAACCATACTACTAACATGCCACATACTCAAAAAATTGTCCTTGGTTTTCATTAAGGTACCTTTTGTACAATCACCCATCATATGGAGCAAGGTCAAGTGGATGTTCGAAAATCTTGGTAATAGTTATATGGGGGAAATTTCAAGTTTTCGCCCTATTGTATATATTTTAGGCTCAAAAATACTCTGTTATGAATAAAACATGATCTGCAATTTTCATTGAGTTGGCCCAAATATTGACGGATATATCCAGCATAAAGTCCCCAATAAGTTTGAAAATCTTTATATTTTGTGTATGGGGCTCAGGGAAATATTGGCCCGATTCAACCCATTTTGCACTTCCATTCTGTCTGAATTTCTATTGCATATCTAATATAATTACCGATATTTTCGATAAAAACTCTTGAACATTTTTGGTTGGATTTGAACATTTTTGGTTGGATTTGAACATTTTTTGGTCAAAACGTGGCATACTTTAAGGGAATAATTATAACAAAATTTTATTCCGTTTTATCAATTACTTCTTAATTTGTTCACTGGAAAGTGAAAGAATCAAAAGAAATAATTAAATTGTGTTACATGGAAAGTCGTTGTGATTGTAGTCCGTTGTCGCTCATTTTCACACTGTGACATAGAAAAGTCCGTCGAAGTCGGTCCGTCGAGTCCCAAGATATGAGATTTCACCAAAAGTTGGGCGGTACCACACCCATTGTCCAATTTTCACACCGGCTCCGATAGCGCTCCCTTACACCACCTGTCTAGAATAATTTAGTAGAATTTCAGTATTTCGTTAAAAAAATAAATAAAACAGTACTCATTTTATGCAACTGACCAACTTTTTTTCAACGCGTTGGCCACGGCGAATATCGCATTCGATGGGACGATGAGCTGATGATGAGATATATGACGACATTGACATAGTTCAACGAATTAAAAGACGGTGGCTACGCTGGCTAGGTCATGTTGTCCGAATGGACGAAAATACTCCAGCAGAGGAAGAGGAAGACCTCCACTCCGTTGGAAGGACCAGGCGGAGAAGAACCTGGCTACGCTTGGAATATCCAATTGGCGCCGTGTAGCGAAAAGAGAAACGACTGGCGCGCTGCTGTTAACTCGGCTATAATCACGTAAGCGGTGTCTACGCCAATTAAGAGTAGAGACATCAGAAGGAGTAGAACCGCCTCCTAGGAGCATCAAAAGGTCCTTCTTTGACTACGTCGACGACGTCGTACGCCGACCGGACTTCGGAGGCAACTGACATTCGACAGGTACTGACCGCCATTCACAGTGGAACCATCAAAACCATCACCGACTCCCTTCCCGTGAATGGCGTTCTTGGAGTCAAATCACTACAGACGAAGAGCTCCAGTTGCCGCGGGACACGCGAGTGACCCTAGCGCTCCTACTTATCCAGAATTGACCCTGACATACGTAATGTATGTCCTGCATGCAACGAGTCCCCGCATGACGGCCACTTCTTTGCATGCCCTACAATCCCCCCTCCCTTTCGTCCGACCCCGTCAAAACAGCACGTTTCCTGGGCCTCCCGTTAGATGACCTCGACGACGTAAGGGTATTTCACATACTTCTATAAAGCTAATGTTCTTCCGAAATTCTAAATTTTGTTTGTAAA